TTCGAGATCCTGGCCAAGGCCGGCCCCGGGGCCGAGCTCGCTGCGGCGGAGATAGCGGCGAAGATAACGGCGACGAACCCGAATGCCGCGTCGATGGTGGATCGGATACTGAGGCTTCTGGCCACGCACTCGGTGGTCGTATGCTCCACGGCGGAGGATGAAGGTGGGAATGTGAAGAGACTCTATAGCCTTACGCCGGTTTCTAAGTACTTCGTTGGTAATGAAGATGGTGTGTCGTTGGGCCCTGCTATGGAGTTGATTCAAGATAAAGTGCTTCTTGATAGCTGGTTTGCATCTTCCCATTCTTTCTACTGACTTGAATTCTTAGACTGATTTGGATGTTTTTTTGGACAACTATGTCCTTTTGGTTAGATTTGTCCACAGAAAAGTTGGAATTTCTGTAACCTACCGGTAAAAGATTAAATTTTCAGTCTTAAGATATGTATAAAAAGTTAAATTTATTATAATCTATTAGCTTAATTAAATTTTTGGGTAAATAGAACGGTTTGATAACAATTTTTTTTTTATGTCTTTAGTTTTTGGATTGATTAGTGATTTAATAGAATTTATGTATCAAATAGTATTTCGAGTGCTATATCAATGTATCCAAATATATTAATAAACAATAACGGATGCATCCATTTTTTAACAAATTTATTTAACATTATATTTTGTATAGAAGTGCTAAATTGAGAATTTTTATACATGAAAGATAAAATTGAGAATCCTAAAAACATTAAGGAAARAATTGAGAATTTTCTGAAAGGTTAGGGAACATTGACATAGTTAATCTAATATTAATGATCAAATTTGATAATCATTTTGATTTCAAAATTAATGTTATAGAAGTGAAATTAAAATTTTAGAGAGGACTAGGAGAATAAATTTTTTTAGGGAGAAAATTATTTTACGAGGAAAGAAATTATTTTGAAAAATTAAATCTATTTCTAACCACTATTTATTTTATTATTTTTTTAGTATTTGAGTGTGATAAAGAATTTAAAATAGTTTTTTAAAAACAGACCACAAAAATGTTTATCCAACAATATATTTTTTTAAATTAAAAATTAAAAAATAAAAACGAAATGCGCTTAATATTTTTTCAATCAAATTATTAATAGAAGTTTCTCTTGATTTGGAAAAGGAAAAATCAATTATCACTATGTCTAATGTATTGCTAGGATTTTAATAAATTCATCGGTTTTTCCAAACTCCATATTTAGGAGAAATATTTCACTCCATCATTTCTTTGAATGAATTTAATTGATTTCCATTTAGGGCAAAGAAATAAAACTAAAGAAAATTCCAATAACTTATATAGCCAACATGAACATTTTTTTATTTTTTATTTTTTATTTATAGATAAGCATGAATGTAATTAAGGGTACGTTTCATATATCTTTTAATTTCTACAAATTTCTTTATGAGTAATTAATTACTAKGTAAACTATACTAGCATGAGCAACAAATCAACACTTAACACATGTTTCTTCCTTAAAAGGTTCGAGGTTCAAAATTACTAGTAGTTAACCTACCACCACTTAATAACTATAACAAATTCACAATAAATTAGTAATTATTTCAAAGGTGTTTGTAAATTTTTTTTTAATTATAACAAACAAACTCTAAATTAGTAATTTTACAAAATGCATTTTTTTTTTCAAAAGTCATTAAATAGTTAGACATTAGTCTCTTCATAGATTTCAATCAACACTATCATATTTGTGACATTATAAAAAAAAAAAATCTAACGTCGTGTCTAATGTTTTTACCATTTCTTAATAATAAATGAATTCTTACCTAAATTTAAAAATTAAAAACAAGTTTTTAAAAATTATCTTTACTAGGGTTCAAAATTTGGCTTAGATTTTACAAAATATTCGAAAATGTACCTAACAAAATAAATAGACCCATGAATAGAAGTAGTGTTTTTAATAGAAAATAAAAAACAAAATGATAATTAAAAGTTTAAAATAAAAATCAAAACGTGCAGGAGACAGCTGAAGAATGCAGTTATTGAAGGAGGAGTTCCTTTCAATAGGGCTCATGGTGGAGCACATGCCTTTGAATACCCTTGCCTGGATCCAAGATTTAGCAAAGTTTTCAATACTGCAATGATCAATCACACCACCATGGGCATCAACAAGATTGTTGAGTTCTACAAAGGCTTTGAAAATCTCAAGCAATTAGTTGATGTTGGTGGAGGCCTAGGGGTCACCCTTCAAGTCATCACTTCTAAATACCGTTCAATCAAAGGCATCAACTTCGACTTACCTCGCGTCATTCGTGATGCCCCGACCTATCCCGGTACATAGTTTTAGAAATTGTTAGTTCTAATTTGGTCTTCACAGCCTTTTCAAAAGTTTCGTTATTGTTCTCATGTGTTGATATATATTAATGGTTATAAGATGTCTTTGTTATGAGTAGAAGTGTCAAAAATCAAATCAAGCAGTTGGTTCGGTTAGTTCGATTTTCACTGCATGTCAGTTGTCTGTTTTAACCTAACCGAACTAACTCTTCATCCCAAAACTCATATTTGGGACTAAAACCCGAAACCATTAACTAAATTGAAAGACAGGTTAACCAAAAATTGAACTAGTTTGGTTCAGTTTGGTTTCCTTCTCTGGAAAACTGAACTGATTCAATCTTCTCATTTTTCCTCCAAATCTAAATCGATTTAGTCTTTTTTATTTTTATTATTATTTTTTAGTACAAACATGTGAGGGTAGGGATTAAAACTCACTATCTTTTGGTCAAATATATATACCTTAACTCGTTGCTATATTCAAGTTGGCTGATTTACACCCCTAGTCATTAACGAAGAGTAATAGAAATCCAAACCCGCAAGTTATGTTGTAGATGTGGTAAATGAGATTTATCATACGTCATTTTCTTCTTCTTTTTTTTAGCCATATATTTAGTAAGGATTTAATGTTTATGATGGAAAAGAAGAAAGGGTATGTTGGGTAAGTCATGTTTTAAATGGGTGAATTTCAAAGTTGAATTCTGTTAAATCTAAGGGTGAGTTGTAAAGCAAGAATTTTAAGAGAGATTTTTGACAATTATGTTGCAGGTGTAGAACATATAGGAGGTGACATGTTTGAGAGCGTTCCAAAGGGAGATGCTATTTTCATGAAGGTTGGTTTTTCTTTATATTTCTTTGTTATCATTTATGTTTTTTTTATGTCTTAATTTTAGTTTTTCATAAACATATTTGTCTGAAAATTTTAATTTATCATGTAATGTTTGAGATGTTCTTAAAATTGTAAAGAATTATTTGAGAAAAAAAGATATTTATTGTTTTTGGAATTTGATTCAATCAGAAAGAATGAATCTAATATCTTATAAAATTCGAGTTACTTCTATGTTGTTAAATAATTGTATTAAAGGGAAAAGAAAAAACTTTATAAAAGAAAGAGATCTAGTTCCTCTGGTAACGTTATTGTAATTTACTATTTCTCATTTTTTTTGAAAAATAGACAGGTTTGTTAATCCATCTCATTTCTCGTTTCTAAATTTAGAAACAGTAGTTTTTCGTTCTTCCCCTTTTGTCTTTTGTTTTTAATTTGTGTCTAGGGATGATTAAAGGTTAAATATTATATATTGTGACGTGAACTTTGGTTTGGTGGCACATGCATGACTTATTAGTTGAGTTCACTTCCTAGGTTGAAACCCGATTATACACGAAACATTTTTTTAATATTTTTTATTTTTTAAATTTAAAATATTTTTAAATTTTATTCTTTAAACCAAGCTATTATATTTTTTTAAACAATAATTTTTTTAAAATTAAAAATATTTTGAAATTTTATTATGTATTTAAAGCTAATAATTTATACTTTTATATAAAAAAAATTATATCTTAAATTATATTTTATWTAATGAATTATTATTTTATTTTAACTAAAAATAAAAATAAGTCAACCTGAATCCACAATATATCACGAGATCATGGGTTCAAATCCCCATCCCAACAAGAAATAGGAAATAGTACAAAATAGTTACAAAAATAGGAATATATCACGAGTCTAGTAATCAAACATATATTTTTTTCTATTTCTTTTTCTCAGTAACAAGAAACAAAAATGGTTACCAAAATTATTCCTTTTTCTAATTCTAAAAAAATTAGAAACAACAAACAAGAAATAGTAAACGAGAAATAGAAAACAGTAGACAAGGACGTTACCAGACGAACTCTACAAAGATTATTTCGTTCTCATTTTAACTAAATAAATAAATGAGGAAAGTTTTTTTTTTTTTTTAAATTCCTATTCTCAAACTCACACACTYCAAACCGGTAAAAGTTATTTATTTATTTTATTATTATTAATTATTAATTATTTTTTAGAGGAATCAAATTTATTGAGAACTAGCTAGAAAGAATCATGATGGTTACAGAGGTCCCTCTTGGACTCCACAACAATCCAAATCTGAACAAGCTTTACAGATTGGTTCACCAAGCGGAATCAATTACATTAGCAAGGTTCAAAATCAAAAGTGGATGTCTAAGATTATTTTCAAAATCAGAGACTTCCAGCTGGAAACATTCGCTCTTATCGACTCTGGAGCCGATCAGAATGTCATCCAAGAAGGATTAGTTCCTTCTAAATATTTCGAAAAAACAAAAGAAGTTCTTAGCGGAGCCGGTGGAAATCCGTTGAACATCAAATATAAATTAT